AAACAAGGCACATGTCGAGGAAATGTAAACACAGCGGATTTACCCTACACAACACATGTATACATGTATATATATTTGTAAACTGCATTACATTTACAATACATATAAAGTACTGAGAAGTGTATAAACCTCTTTTTTCTATGTATGTCACTTGTGTGAAAACCATGGTTACCACATCAAAAATTACCAAAAAATGCCAAAAATTGCTATTTTTAACCCAAAATTTGACCCCCGCAACTAGTAATTTTTTTCCTAAGCTCTGTCTGAAATTAAAGATTACCTACTTGGTTGCAGAATTATCTGGGGCCCAGTAAAGTTGTAAAACTTGTTNTATATCCTAGTATCTCTAAAGTCAAACTACTTAAAACATTCTGTTTCCGATGGTTTAAAACGCTCTGTCTATGATGGTTCAGTTAACACAATGATTTTCTACACATGTTGATGAAAATCCAGTTAATCTTAGTAACTTCGCTGCATACTATGGAATGATCAAATCTCTTCAGAGAGAGGTTTTTGAACATTTTTATTTCATGTTTGATATTCAAAAATGATAACTTTGCTTTAACGTAATAAATTAAATCATGACAGAATATAATGACACCGATATACGTTTCATGCAGTTAAATCGATGAGCATACACAATTATGTCTATGTATTATACATATAAGCATATAGAAACGTATCCACTAGAAGTAAAACTATGTACTAATGTAAATAAAAGCGTAATTAAATACAGCCGAATTCGTTGTAAAAACAGATTTTTTCATTGATTTTTAATCGATATTTCTGCATAATATATTGGCTTTATAGAGAAATGAATCTCTTACTGAGCAATTCGAACTTTATTTACCACTCTATATCTCTGAAACACTTCTTGCCATATTTCAGTCGTGAATCGTCTGTATTGCGTTATCCCACCAATCGAGAACAACGCGTTTACGGAAAGTGCCGACGGTTTCCGATTGCATTGTCGTTTGTACTCCACTCTCTCCACTCTACGACCTCGGTGTTAGTCATGTAAAACCAGGATAATTGCCCTTTCATTGCATGCTGGTACTTATTTTGTTTGATATTTTAGATGCAACGATGAAAATTCTGAAACAGTGAAAAATAATCACAAATGAGTTAATACAAATATTTAGTCTCGGAATTAAAAAAAACCCAGCATTTAAAGAGTTCAAATTATAATAAATATAAACTTTACAACAATTATGAAACAAGTTTTTACAACTTATACTAATCACTTTTGTTGGCCCGGATGCTAGCGCGCGGGGGATCTGACTGTGGGAGGAAATAAAACCCACGTGGTCGGGCAGTTGACCCAATACCTTTACACGTCCGATCAGAAAATCAAACCCTGGCCGCCTTAGTGAAAGGCAAGTGCACTTTCCACTGCGCCACCCGACCACCCATGTCAATAAGGTCACCTAGAAGTTGAAGTAAAAAACACCCGGATCTTCTGGGACATGAAAGATAAGAAACCATAAAAATATTCGACGCAATTGTTAAGAGGTTTGTTTGTATGTGATGTTACGTCCTCGCTACAACCAAGGTCATTTACATCCCAACAACTACAGGGGTTACACTCAATTTGAATCTCTGCACCCCTGGAATATGTCATAGCAAAATTGAAGGCACTCTGCTAGATATTTGATTGGTGTCGAGTAATAAAAAAAACTTGACCAGCCGCTGGGCTGATACCTGTCCTTGGAAGATGACAGAGGGCGACACCCGACTTCAAAGCCAGTCAAAGTTACCGTTACACAACCGCGATATTGTTTGGATGTACATCAAAGGATGAAACAAATCTCCTTGCACACTGAGCCTTCCATTTTTCCATGAAATAGTCCAGCGGTTCAGAGAACGTAGGTGAGCGTAACCCCTATAGTGTCGAGGATGACGTCATACAAAGACGGGTACCGAAGAGAAAGATTCGGAAAGTGAGACCAAAAAAGATATAGACCGAAGTGTAAAAGTTTTGCTGCGATGGGGGCAGCAGAAGACACAACAGATTTTGTTTTATTAAAAAGATAATTACCATACTTGCCACAGTTTTACCAAAACTAAAAAAATCATAAACTGAAACTTAAATTTCGCGTGTCGGTTTTAGACTCAAATAAAAGTGACGAGCATAAATACGCTGAATCCTCCTAATACCAGGAACACAGACCCCCGGAAGCTGTCCACAATTGCCGTGTATGTAGACTTTGACGTCACGTTCGCCACCACTGTACAACCGCAACCCCGGCAAATAACGCACCTTTAACGGGACATATCACATTATAAGCTTCTCGATCAAAGTTTGACGTTTAATATGTTCAGAAGGAGAAATATTGCTGAATGAATGTCTGACATTACTTTTCACTAAATTGCTAAAACTCATAATTGTTTTTATTCTAAAATAAATACATAAATATAATATAACATAATATTCATATCGGGCTTAGAATTGTACCGTTTGGCATTTAGTACTTGTTCTGTTTTATACTTGTGTTGCCTAAACGACAATTAATGAAGATCAATTCTAGTCCATGTGTAAGATTATTTTATAAATATTTAAAAGTTTACATTTGATTATTAGATATGTATTCGCTTTCTACGGAAAAGATTTCACCGGGTATAAATTAAAAGCTGTTGACACATTTTTGCTTCAAACGCATGAATTCCAAATATGGTGGCGTCATTTTTGACATTATCGACTGGATCTTCCAACAACAGGCACTGGAATGAACGAACGTAAAGATTTTGTTTGTTTGGGGTTTAACGTCCTCGCAACCGCCAGGGTCATATGTGGACGGGTGCTTAGGGAGACAAAACAGCCAGGGTCATATGTGGACGGGTGCCTAGGGAGACAAAACCGCCAGGGTCATATGAGGACGGGTGCCTAGGGAGACAC